AATGTTTATGAAAATTAATAAAATATAATTATAGAAGAAAAAAAAAAAAGAAGTGTGGCATTGGGAAAATCTGCTGTAAAAGACCTCTCCAAAGTGCTGCATGTCAGTTTAAAGACTACAGTGCACTTGATCCAAGCCATGGTCTTTTCAGTTGCTTCCTGTGTGCCTGCAGGTTGGATAGTGAATAAGGATGAAAAAAGAATCAGTGCCTTTGAATAGTGATGTTAGAGAAGAATGCGGAATTTCAAATAGATTTTTAAAAAAAAAGAAAAAATACCTGGTTTTGACAGAAATGCAACCAGAATGTCTCTTAAAGGCAAGGATGGCAAAACTTTGCCTCACCTACTTAGGGCACGTTGTAGGGAGACACTATTCCCAAGAAAAAACATGATGCTCGAAAAGCTGAAGGGCCAGAGAAGGAGAAGCAGAGCTCCAACAAGATGAACTGACACAGTGACTATATTGATGGTAAAAAGAAAGAGTTGAGTTCCCGATGAACTTGGAGAATTTTCTAGTTCTAACACTTTATGATCCTTAATACTTCACAGAAAACCAAAATTTGCCAAATGTATTTTAATTGTAAAGCTGTATAGGTTTTTTTTAACACATAAAAACTGTATTTTCAAAGAAACATAAAATTCATAAAAGAAAAGATATGATATAAGTAAGATGAAAATGTTGATAATTTCAGTCTTTTCTCCATCTGTCATTATGTTGGCTATCAGACCAGCGGTGAGGATTTTTACCTTCTTGATACTAGTAGAAATGCAGTTCATACTGAAAGCTATAGCCTTTGCTCTTCTGCAGCAAGCGTTTCAAGTCTTCCTCACTTTCAGCAAGCAAGGTTGCGTCATCTGCATAACGTGAGTTGTTGATGAGTCTTTCTCCAATCCTGATGCAACATTCCTCTTCATAGAGTCCACCTCCTTGAATGATTTGCTCAGTGTACGGATTGAAAAGATCAGGAAGTATTTGGCTTTGGGAAAATCTGTTGTCAGAGACCTCTCCAAATTATTGAAGAGCAATGATATCAGTTTGAAGAATTAGGTATACCTGATTCAGGCCATGGTATTTCCATCACTTGCTTTGCATCTGGGAGCTGGACACTGAATAAGAATGACTGAAGAGGAGTCGATGCCTTTGAACTGTTGGGTGCTGAATATCCCATGGACTGCCAAAAGAACAAACATATGTCTTAGAGAAAGGGCAGCTGGAATGCATCTTGGAGGCAAGGATGGCAAAGCTTCATCTTTGAACATGTTGCTAACAGAGGCTGTGGAAAGGGACATCATGTTTCAAAAGGTGGAGGGTCAGTGAAAGACAAGACGACTCTCAGATAGATTGCCACAGTGACTGCAGCAGTGGGCTCAAGTGTGTCAGAGGTGATGCGGATGGCACACGATAGGACGGTGCAGATCCATTGTCCATAGAGTCACTAGGAGTCAACTCAACAGCATCTAACAACAAATTTTAACAATTCTTATTTTCCTACTTTTTAAAATTCTTCTAAGAAAGGAAAAAAAGCAGACTGCTGATACCTCACCAAATAACTCATGATCTGGTTTAGATTCTGTGTTCTGTTTTACACACAGGATATGAGACAAGTTTGTAAGGAAAGCAAAAAAAGAATCTGAATGGATATATCTGCTCAAAGAACATTTTTTTACCATAAATCATATTAATAAACACACACAACTCAAACAAACATTTCACAAAACTATTTCCTCGCTGCAGGAATTCATCAAATTTGAATTGATGGTCTTATGGGCCATGCTCTACAGTTAAAAAGGCACTGCTTTTACACCTCATCTCTTGTCTTCCTGTATTTAGCGTTCAGCCTGTCTTTTTGGTATTTTAGCCTTCATTGTGGAGTTAAACCAGAACCAAAAATTAGGGGTTCACTCCTGAGAAAGCCCTAGCTTTGAGATCACATAGCAGAGCTGAACTGCATGTCTTTGATTCTGTGACATTCCGACTGTGAAACTTAGGGCAGGTTAACATTTTCCATATTTGTGTGTTTATGTGATTCACTCACATGGTCTGTGTTGGTACTGTTTGTAGATTTGGCAGTGTGGAGGTACTTTGGAAATTGTTACTTGCTCACATGTTGGGCATGTATTCCGGAAAGCTACACCTTACACATTTCCAGGAGGCACAGGGCAGATCATCAATAAAAATAACAGGCGACTCGCAGAAGTTTGGATGGATGAATTCAAAAATTTCTTCTACATCATTTCCCCAGGTGGGCATTATTTAGTCTTCAAAACAGTCCTGTCGCTGATATGGTGGAAAAGGAGCTTAGAGCAGGGAACCAAATATCTAATATAAAGTCATTTTTTAAAAAATTAAACCACTCTTGGTATATAGTTTTTAGCAAGATGTCTGGTATAAGATGTTATCAGCCACAATAATACACTATACAATTTGTCTCATTTATTGTTAAACCAAGTGCTACTCGTGTAGTATTTTTTAACCTAATTGCAATATTTAACATTTATTGCTTTTAAGTATCATTGTGTTAATCTTCAGCCATTTCCTTAATGTATATGAATTTTTCTATATTCTTGGCTTTAACCAATACCGCCAGCTGAGGTTTTTTACAGTAGGCTTTGATATTCTCCATAAGCAAGTCCATGATGCCTTCAGGGCTTTCATGAAAGTGTCAAGTCTTTGAAACCCATTACGTGCCTCAAGAAACTTCCTTCTCGTAGTTAATGCATTTTGTGGAAACAGTTGTGCCATCAGCCTGCACTCATTACCATTTTACCCTCATTTTTGTTTTAGGTAGTATGCATAATTCAATAAATTGTATGAGAGAGACCTGGCTAAAAAGTATTGATTAATATCTGATTGATTTGGTCCAAAGAGGTCTGGATTTTTTCCCCTCTCCTTAATAATACCATGTTCTAAACCCACTTAACTTCTGTGTAGTTCTAATATTAAAAGATATTTAATTCTCATAGGCACTTAATTTTTCTTTAAAGGCTCAAAGCAGACTTAATCTTCTTTCTTATTTTAAGCTTTGGGAGAGAGATTTGTATTGAGTATGAATTCATTCCACACTTCCCATTCATGTGGTTTGTTGGATGAATTATTTAAGTAGACTTATGCTTCCTAATAGAACACGAATAACTTGGGGTCCATTCTTTCTTTTAACAGGTGTTACCAAGGTAGACTACGGAGACATATCCTCAAGGCTTGGCCTCAGGCACAAACTACAGTGCAAACCTTTCTCTTGGTACCTAGAGAATATTTATCCCGATTCTCAAATCCCACGGCATTATTTCTCTTTGGGAGAGGTAAAAATAAAGCTCTGTATCCTTTGTAGTTAGTATTTTCTCACTTCTCTATGAAGAGCCCTCTAGTGGCGTAGTCGATAGGGTGGTGCACTGCTAACCGAAAGGCCTTGCTTCTTTAGCAGTTCAAATCCACCAGAGACTCTGAGGGGAAAAAATAGTCTCCTTCTGTATGATTTACAGTCTCTGAAAACCCACTGGAGGGTCAATTGTTAGTGGGTTCTGTCTTGACAGTAAAGAAGTTTCTCTATCAAAAATTAAACTTAAAAAAAAAATTAAACTTCCAGCAAAGAAGTGCCTTTATCTTAAAATTGCATAACATTAAGTATGGAAAAGTTCTTGTTAGTTGAGAGGGTAATTTGAAATGTTTACGTTTTAAGCATGTTCTGTTTTAAAATAAGACTTCCTCTGGACTGTCATAGTTATATTTTTGCTAAAGTATATCGGCATCTTGGCAAACTTTCCATTAACAAGCTGATTCCTTTCGTTGAGACCATTTACTGTGAAAGTTAATATTACAGTGTTACTGTGAGCTTATGGCATTTGAATGTGAAGGTAAATAGTAAAGAAATGACAGGGAAATGTGAAAGAACATTCCTAACTGTGTTTTCAGCACTTTGAGGAAGGAGAGTATTTTTCTCCCTCGGGTTTTTTATAGGGAGCTCTGGTAACCTAGTGGTTAAGGAGCTGTGCGGCCAACCCAAAAGCACGCGGTTCGAATCCACAAGAGAAAGATGAACAGTCACCTTCTGAGTGACGTACAGCTTCTCAAAATCTGCTGGAGGGTCAGCTGTGAGTGGGTTTAGACTTGGCAGCACATGGCATTAAGCCTTCTGTGGAGTGTTCCAAGTTGCTGTTCTTAATTTGATCCCGTACAGGTGGAAGGGAGTAGAGATAGTTTGCATCTCGGTTTGGGCAGGAAAGTTGGAGAGAATGTGGGCATATTTATTTCTGCAGATGCCTTTAGTTAAATTTCTTTTAGAGTTCTTCAGTATATATTCTTAAAAGTTGAAGTTTGATCATTTCCACTTAAATTGCTGTTGTTGTTAGGTGCTGTCGAATCAAGTACGATGCATAGCAACCTTATGAGGAAGAGACCTGAACCCTCCTGTGTCGTCCTCGTCATCTCTGGCACACTTGTGCCCTTTGCCACAGTCACTGTATCAGTCTGTCTGTTTGAGGGTCTTCCTCTCTTTCACTGAACCCCCGCCTTTCCAAGCACTTAGGTAACACAGCTCTGCTTTTGAGAGTGGTCCCAAGAACAGTTTCTTACACCTTGTTCCCACCCTATTCCTCAAGTCTGAGGGGCTTGTTGAACTTCTTGAGCGCAGACATTTCTCATAGTTGAAGCACAGTGGCTCGTTGAGTCTGTTCTCTTTGCTGCAGCCCCATTCCAGTCAAGAGAGGCCCTCATGGGCTGACTTATTGGAGGAGGAATCAGATGGTCACTCCTGTGACTTGCTTTTGGAATAGAGAATGAGGAATCAGGTCCCTTCCCTGCTTTTAAACTAAGCCAGTTTTGGACAACACCTAGGCATTGTAGATGGGGCCAGAGCATAGGCAGTTACAAAGAAGCGCTTGTCTGACCGGTGGTGAAGGAGTGCCAAGGCACGTTTTCCTTGTGCCCGGCTCCTTGCCAGCTGGCTTCCTGCTGATTATTGCCTTAGTAACTGTGCACCTGGTTTTAAGCCTGCTGTGCCTTTAATACAAGTCACACTGTCGGACTCCTCAGCTCTAGTTTGGGGGTCGGTGTCATTCTCAAACACCGACCACAGTGCAGCCAGAAATCATATCTTGTGTCCATCCCTCCACCTTGTCAGCCTGAGACTGGAATGTAGCCATTCAGAAATCTCTTTGTCTTACTTCACTGACTAGGGAAGCCTAGAATCATCAGTTTTTAGAATAAAAAATAATTAGAAGATGTGAATATGAATAGAATAAGAGACACAACTTACAGTGCTTGGTGTCAACTCTGTTTGACCCCATAGCTCCTGTAGTGGCCTTGTTAAGAAGTGGTGCTGCCAATCCTAAAACAAGTGGTTTGAATCCACCAGCTGCTCTGCGGGAGAGAAGCAGTCTCTCTTCATGTAATTTACAGCCTCTGAAAACTTGCTGGAGGGTCAGCCATGAGTTGATTCTCACTTGATGCCATGAGGTGTCCCCCCACCCTGAGCTCATGGAGAATCTAGAACTGGAAAATATATTCCACTGTGTTATACCTGAAAGTGGAGTATTTTCACCAAAAGCAGAAGATAGTATTCATGCAGACCTTTGATGGTCTAGTCAGTCTTGAGGGCTGACCTGTTTTTTGTCCCCTGGCTCTTATAATCCTAAGATTTCCTGAGGCTGTACTCACTGTCAAACACCAAGCTTAGTGCGTTATGTATATTAACTCACAGGGTCTTCATATCAACATTGGGCAATGGGTGCTGCTACCCCAGTTCACAGATAGGTAAATTGAGGTACATGTGAAGGTGTAAACAGCATGGTCACAGCCATAAGTTGGGAGAGACAGGATTTCAGTACTGGCAATCTGGTCCTAAGCCTTATGCTCTCAAATAGTAACACCCATCTTTTTCAGATCCAAACAAGATTTCCCTTATGTACTCAATTAAAAACATAGGTTTGGAGGAAGGGGAAGTGAGTTCTGTACACAAAAATTGAGGGGAAATGCTGATTTTTATTACTTGCATTTTCTGGACCTCCGTTTCCCACTCCTGCTGAGATTTTTGGGCACTGGGGTCAAGGATTTAGCCTAGCACGAAAGTCAGAATTTCAGAGCCTTGACATGTGGCCTGGCATTGTGTCTTAATGGCCCAGTCACAGTATGTTCAAAGACTCAGAGATAATTCTTTAGTAAAGAATTTATTTATTACATATTTATTTAGTAAAGGGTTTGCTTTTTTAATAATAGTACCAGGTAAGACTGATTGATTAGTATGTGTGTGTAGGTTGTGTCCTTCACTTCTCTAACTCCTGATACTTTTCCTATTCGTTGTCCTATAGATAAGAAACGTGGAAACCAACCAGTGTCTGGATAATATGGCTAGAAAAGAGAATGAAAAAGTTGGAATTTTTAATTGTCATGGTATGGGGGGTAATCAGGTGAGTATCTCAGTAAAGGAGAGAATTTTCAGGGTGGTTTTTTGTTGGGGTGTTTTGTTTTGTTTTTCTGTTTCCCTGATACCATTCAAGAAAAGTAAAATTATAAAGACAGGTGAGGGGAGCCTTCAGTCTAATTCTTACTTTTAAGAGAAATATTTGCAAAGAGCCCGTGGTGAGAATTGGGTGTATGTGACTGTGCATGAGATTTACTTTGCCCTTTCAGTCCGGCAGATGCCCACACTTGACAGTACACTTAGTGTACACGGCACTCAATATCAGATTTACTTAGCTCTGTGCAAACTTGGTGGTGACTTTTCGCAGTCGTTTTATTCAGAGAAGATATATTTTATAAAAGTTTTTTCTTAAGCTCACATTTTTTACAGATATTATCTGGAGAGATCATCACGCTTGGTCTTTAAAAGAGATGCTTAAATTAAAAAAGACTAAAAAAAGTTCCTTATTATTTTAATAAAGTTTTTAAAAATGCAGCTTGAAATGCACATTCTTCTTATTAATTGTCTCATTAGTTGACATTTATGACAATAGTAAAAAAAAAATACCATCCAGGTATTTTCCAGATTAATAAATTACATCTGGCAGTAACACCGAGATGTAAGGGGCAGAGCGGCTCTGGCTGTGCTGGTGAAGGCTGTGTGTCAGCTTGGCTGGGCCTTGGCTCTTGGTGGTTTGGCAGTCATGTTAGTGATGGACTTTGGTAGTTATGAAATGATGTGCCCGTCCTCTGATTTGTGGTCTGTGGTGGTCCTCTTCCATTTTCCCCAACACTAATTTTAACTTAATGACCTGGTCATTAACAATGTTGGTAAGTCAGGAGTCATTGTACTTACTTTTTCCGCGCTAAGTTTTTAAACATGCAGAACATCTCTTTCCTTTCTGTGAAAGCTTATGTGTTTGCATTTTCTGTTTTTAGGTTTTCTCTTACACTGCCAACAAAGAAATCAGAACAGATGACCTTTGTTTAGATGTTTCCAAACTTAATGGCCCAGTCACAATGCTCAAATGTCACCATCTAAAAGGCAATCAGCTTTGGGAGTACGACCCGGTGGTAAGTTGCCTGAGGAAAAAATAAGGATGTGTAGCATTGGCATGGATTTCTACATTTTACATTCTTGAGTTTGAAAATGAGTCTCATTATACTCTCAGAATTTATAGATAAATAGAAAATAAAAGTAAGAGAAGTGTATTTTATTCTCCCTAGTAATTAAACTAGTTTTGCAGAGTCCCAGAAGCCCTCATTTCCTGGGCCTTTGTTGTTCCTGGGTAACCACTGACCTTTCTGTGTGTCTTCGAACTTTGTAGCCTAAGAGGAAGAAATGGAACAGTAAGTGGGCGATTTAAACCAAATTATTAGGCAAAAAGAGAATCTTAATAAAATTATTTGATTCATAATCATTTCTCAGTAACATGCATAACAAACATTTTCTATTTATCTTTGATTTTCTCTGAAGCCTCTGTCCACTCCAACTCATAAAGACCACCCATCTGGTTTGGGAGCGTATATGTATTTGTGAGAGGAAACCACTCATCCTTCTCTCACAAAGCACCTGGTGGATTAGAACCGTTGGCCTTTCAGCACAGAATATAATGCAATATACTACCAGAGCCATGTTTGTTATTGTTTCTATTAAAATGTACACATTTTAACTGTGCTCAGTTAATACCAGGACCTATAACACTGATCCCAACCAGAGCAGTGATTTAATAGGTTCCAGTAAATTACCTCCTATAAAGCATTCTCCCTCCATCTCTGACTGATCTTCCAATTCTTGACTCTACAATTCTGGAATCAGAACCAGTATCTCTTTGCTCTGTTATTATTCTGCTTATGAGCACAACTGGTTTTCTTCCTCATTCTTGTTCCTGTTTTACTTTCTGTTTAGAATGAGGATGGTAAAACATGACCTCACATACTTTGGACATATTGTTAGGAAGGGCCAGTTTTTAAAAAGAAGATTGATGCTGGGAAATGTGGAGGTTCAGAGAAAGAGGAAGCCCCTCCAGGAGATGGCTTGACACAATGACTGTACCTGTGGGCTCGAGCATGGGGAAATCGAGGCCCAGGGTGCAGGAGAGGGAAGATTGCAATCCTTTGTTCTTGAACAAGATGCATTAGTAATAACTGGTGATTGGCATGCAAAAGCTGAAACAAAGGATGGGTAGTTGCTAAATACGCCCTTGGTCACAGAAACAAGGCCAAGTTTGCATGGTAAGATTTTGTACAACCAGGTACCTTTTTTAAGAAACACAAATAGAAAGAATACACATAGGCCTCACTTGATGAAACGATTCAAGAATCAAATTAGCCACATCTGTGGAAAGAGTGAAAAGCTCAGTATCAGTTAAGAGCAGGGCCAGGGACCAAGACTGGAGTGAATCATCAACTTCTCACGTGTATGTTAAAATTGAAGCAGGACAAAGCTGAAACAAGCTCACTGAGCCAAAATACATCCTTGAGTCAATTCCACCTGATAGTGAAACTGTCTCAAAATTTATTTCATTGATGACTAAAGACCAGTTGTGTGGTGTGAAGTCATCATACACATGAAGAAAGCAAAATATCTCAGTAATAAAAAGAAAAGACCAACATGGATGTCAGAAGAGGCTCTGAAACGTCCTCTTAAATGTAGAGAAGTTGAAACAAAAGGAACAAGTGGTGAAATAAGAAAATTTAATTTCTTGGGGTTTGTTTGGGTTTTTTTTTACATGTAAAAGTTATTGGATTGGTATAGTTTTGCAGTGCATGGGTAGCTCTAGTGTTGTAGTCTGTAGCGGATACACTGCTTACCCAAAGGTTGGAACGTCCAGTAGTTGAAACCCACCTGCAGCTATAAAGAAGGAATATAGCAGTCTCCTTCCATTGTGATTATCAGTCTAAGAAACCCCATGGAGGGTCTCTATAGAACCAGTTTAACAACGGTGAGTTTTGAAATTTTGCTGGAGATAGGGCATTGATGTCAGCCATGGCAGATTCATGTTGTAGTTATTCTACTTTTATATGTTGTTGTTGTTGTGATGTGCTTTTGAGTCACCAGTGATTCAGTGGCTCAATGAACAGTGAATCTGAACCTTGCCCTATCCTGTGCCGTCCTGACTGCTCGAGTGCACTTGAGCCCCTTGTTACAGTCAATATGTTAATCTGTCTTGTTGAGGGTCCTTCTCCTAGGCTGTTCCCCCACCTTTTTGAGTGTAATATCTTTCTCCAAGGATGGGCCCCTCCTAACAGCATTACCCAGAGTTTGTGAGATCGGGTTTCACCATCTTTGCCTCCAAGAGGCATGCTGGTTTCACTCTGTCCTGTACAATAATAGAAGAAGAGGAGGAAGAAGAGAGGAGTAAAATTAATTATTGTTGTGTACCATCAAGTCCAAACTGCACCACAGCTGACCCTGCAGCGGGTTTTCAGAGGCAGTTCATCGAGCAGGAGGAAGTTGCCCATCTTTCTCCCCCAGAGCAGCTGGTGGATTCAAACTGCACACCTTTGCACTGTCAACTCATTTCCTTACCACCAAGGAAAGGGACAGAAGTAGTAAGTCACTGAATAATATGTATAGAAGCTATTGAATGGAAACCTGTTTTGCTGTCTACACTTTGCCAAAAAATATTATTTTTTAAAAAAAAAAAAGGCAAAGAGTTGGACCTAGACTTGGTATTGGGGATGTTTATTAGAGAGCACCTTTTGAAGCAACACACACCTATTGACAAAAGGAAGAAGCAAGCAGGATTGGTGAGAAGTCTGGTAGTAGCACAGACTCAGAGCCTGAGTCGCCTTCACATTCACGCTCAGCTTTTGTCTTGACATGAGAGCTCTGTGGGTGTGGGTGTGGGTGTGGGTATGGATGTGGGTGTGGATGTAAGAGACAGAGAAGAGAAGAGCATCTGCACTCTGTGCCCAGGACTGTGAACCAGGTGTGCAGTTTGTCAGGACACTGAGTTTTTTTATTATGAGGTCCTTTATCAAGCACTAGTTCAGCTAGGCAGAACTTAACATACCTGATCTCCCTGCTTCTTCCCCATATGAAGTAAGTGGCCCTGCTCCATTGTTAGAGGTGCAGAAACCAGACTCATTCTGCTCAGGGGAACATCTTTCATACATGATAGACTTGGTGTTGTTGTTGTTGTTATATGCCGTCGAGTCGTTTCCAACTCATAGCGACCCTATGCACAACAGCCCTAAACCCTGCTCTATCCTGCGCCAGCCGCACCGCCTCTGATACACCCATCCCGATTACCCCAGTCACCGAATCCATCCATCTCATAGAGGGTCTTCCCCTCCTGTGCTGTCCCTCCACCCTCCCAAGCATGATGTCCCTCTCCAAGGACCCGTCCCTCCTGGCAACATGTCCAAAGTATGTCAGACGAAGCCCCAGAATCCTTGCCTCCAAGGAGTAGCTTGGTTTAATCCTCTCCAAGATGAATCTTTTTGTTTTCCTGGCAGTCCATGGTACATTCAGTACCCTTCTCCAGCACCACAGCTCAAAAGCATCCACTCTCCTTCTGTCCTCCCTAGTCATTGTCCAACTCTCTGACGCATAACAAGCGATTGCAAATATCATGGCCTGTATCAGGCGCACCTTAGTCTCCAGAGAGACACTGTTGCTCCTGAGTACCTTTGAGAGGTCCCTAACAGCAGACTTTCCCATCGTGGTACGCTTTTTGATTTCCTGACTGCTGGTACCAAGAGCGTTAACTGTGGAGCCGAGCAAACTGAAGCTGTGAACAATCTCAATCTCTTCGTCATCCATCCTGACGCTGCTAATTGGTCCAGTGGCGAGAATCTTTGTCTTCTTGACATTGAGCCTTAGTCTATACTGAAGGCTGCAGTCCTTGACCCTTCGCAGCAAGTGCATACTTGGTAGTCACATGAAAACTGTCACCGTAAAGTTCACACTGTCACCCATGAAATGCACAGCAACTGCTTGAATACAGGAAAATAACCACTGCTGTGCTGACTTGCTCCAAGTCTACTTCATCGGTATGTTATTGTTTGTTGTTGTTGTGCAGTGCCGTCGTGTTGTAGACGACTCTTAGCAACCCTATGAATGAAAGACCTGAAAACTTGTATAACTTTCATCATTTCTCTAAGTTCATAGGCATTTCCAGAGGCAAGCTGTTTCATAAGTGGATGCCACTCCTGCTTCCAAGCTTGTTTTAATAGGGGAGCCCCATCAAATACTGTTCACCATGGATAACCATACTCGCATTTGACACATCAGTGTCATGGTGTTGTCACAGAAACCATGAGTTACCTCTGTACAGGAAATGGACAGACCAGTACTATACCACTTAGAAGAATGTTGGACCAAAAACAATTAAAACCAGGCCCTCGACATCGGTATACATTACAGCAAAGTGTGTAATACTAAAATGACCAGGAATGTGTGAATTCTGGTGCAGCATGGGTGGCACTAGAACAGAAATTGCTGAGTGACATGAGTCAGTCACAAAGGGACAGTTTGGTGGAAGACCACTCATATAAAAAGAAAGGAGAAGTTTATACACAGAGAATCGATCTTGAAAGGTTAACAGAAATGAGACATGAGGGAGAAGAGAGAAAAAATTCCTGTGGTGTCACTCTGCTCTGCCCTGCAGGCAGGCTTGTGAGCTGGGGCTGACCTCCAGCAATGAGTTTGGGTGATTTAAAGTACTTTTATTTATTTTGGTTTATTTTTGGAAAGCCATTTGAGAGAATTGAAACAAAAGCCAGAGTGACTACGTTGGTGAAGATGAACAACATGCCTTTAAAGGGATGTTTATAAGGGGAATATAGAATTTTAGGGAGAGGCACCCTGTGGTGCAACTCTTGGCCACTAGTTAAAAGTTAGTGGTTCTTACCCGCCAGCTGCTCTTCCTGCGAGCATTACAGCCTTGGAAGGCCATTGTGCCAATTCTTCTCTCATACAGGGTTGCCCTGAGTTGGAATTGACATGACAACAATAGGTTTGGGTTTGATTTTAAGAGAAAAGAATACAGGGAAACAAAGAAGGTGGAAGGATCAGCCTTGGAATGGAGGGACCTTTTCCATTGACTGGATGATGGAAAAGAAGTTTGAAAATTTGGCGGAGGCTGGGAGGCAAATCTGAAATCTTTAGTATGAGACCTAAAGTCAGTGGTGGTGGAAGTAAATGGTGGCATCTTCCACTTACTGATTCCCACAAGGAAGAAGTGATTGCAAGTTAAAATATGTGCATACAATCAGAGGTTGGTTTTAAATTCAGATAGGGGCAAAAGAAGCCTGATTTGAAGAGAGCTTTTTTAAGGAACTTGAGTTTAATCTGACTATAGAGTATCACCACTTGAAAACGAAAATACTCCAGAGGAGAGAAACGCATTAATATAGACCCACAAACGGAAAGACCAGATAAATGTGTGCTCATAAACGTGTCACTGTAGTAACATGGGATCATCGTCATCTTTTTTTTAATTGATTTGCATACAAAATTTGTATACATTATGTCCCACACTATCCTTCATTCACATTGTGTTTCATACAATCATTCCCATTTATTGTATTTTATAAAATGAATCACTACTGAACTGATTACCAGTACCCTGTCTTTGCAGATCCCCGCCAGATCTTTTCCATTTCCTTTACCCCTCCCTCCACCCACCAGATTGTACAACCCTATAATTTTCCCCATCCAGCCTTACTCCTCTGCTCGCACCTCTTCTCCCCGTGAGTCCCCATATGTGTTTACTAGTTAAACTTCTAGTTTTATAATAATGGTCTTAGGCAGTATTTGTCCTTATGAGACTGAGTTCATTCTGCATCGTATTCTTCATCCTCTCCCGTTATGTAATAATTTTCAAAATCATGACTCCTGAGTGCTACAACACAGGATCATCTTTTTTTTTCTTTCTTACTTACTGAGTCTTTTTTCTCCTTTACAGACTCTTTCCAAGCATGATGTCTCCTTTTTTTAAAAAAAACAAACAAACTTATTTTAATGAAAGTTTACAGAGACTTTGGATTTCCATTAATTCATTGTTGCACACTTTCCTCCTGCCCATCCCCCCCCCCCCCAGTTCCCTTTTCTCTTGAAAAGTAAAAAAATAATAATAATTATTTCATTGTTATACAATCCCCCCCCAGTCCACTTCACTATGCAGCTTTCATTCTTGGACTCTTGTCATGACACTAATGCCTAATCATATATTCCTTCTAAACAGTTCTCTTCCTCATCTGTTTCAATGCAGTATACATTCTTCTTAGTTTCCCCCCAATTCTGATGTCAGACCTGCTTTACAACAGTGGCACTATGCCGTATTTGACCTTTAACACAGGATCATCTTAATAAAAATTCCTGCATGGCTACTTTGGCACCCTTGACATTAACATGATCATGGCACATCCCATCAGAATCATCAGCATGGGTCTTATAATCATACGATTTAGCTCTTTGCGCTCATCTCTGTTGCCCTTTTGAAATTAACCTAAAATTCAGCATGATTGCATCAAATCTAGACTGTAAGCCATATTCCCCCCCCCATAGTGCACCCCTATAAATAACACACACGGAGCACTCATAGGACACTTAACTGATGATGGGGTTGCATGGTTTTGGGGGGAAAAAACAAACCCAAAAAACAAACATGGAACCTGTGTATTGTTTGCATAAAAATCTCATACGGTGGCTACATCTGTCAGATTCATTGCTATCTATTCAGCTATTTACTAAAGCCCAGGTTTGCGTGAGTCACTGTGCTATGTAGTTAGATTCATTATCTGTTTACAGTCTGCTGAAAACATGCCACTTTATCCTCATATTAAAAATGATAATGTGTGAGTTAAGCCAGCTCTGAACTCGGGCTGTCTGACTCCAAAATCCTGTGCTCTGCAGCTGCTTTCATCACCGGAGCCTCTGTATTTGCTGAGGACATAGACATGAGGTTGATGAATACTCAGCCCTAGTAATCCCAACATTGGTAGGATTCTGAGTCTTTCAAAGGACCCACAGTTCTAAGAACTCGAGGTTTAGAATCACAGAATTTATTTGAACAGCCTTAAATCAGAGAAGTGCAACATTTTAAAAATAACATTTTGAAAACAGGTTGAGGATCCCAGATGAGGATCCACTTCTCTGGTCATTTTTTTTTTTTAGGAAACTGAGCCATTTAAAAAATGAAGTTCTGCAGTAATACAGAGCTTATGGCACGATTGAGGCTTGGGATTTAGGTCACGTTGTTCCACGGCCAGTATTTTTCCACCATACCCCAGCACCTTCCTGTCTACCCCAGCACATAATGCTGTCCGTAAGTGGGCACCATTCTCTCATTATGTTTCAGTCAATGTCACTTTTTCTATGAAAAAAAAAATCCGTAATCCTCACAAATGATGGTAGAGAGAGTTCTTGAGTTTTGTCTATTTGTTTTGCATTTTCATGAGTGGTATTTTGTTGTTGTTTTTTTTATTTTTTTCCTCTCTGTTGTTTTTAGAAATTAACCCTGCAGCATGTGAACAGTAACCAGTGCCTGGATAAAGCCACGGAAGAGGACAGCCAGGTGCCCAGCATCAGAGACTGCAATGGAAGCCGGTCCCAGCAGTGGCTTCTTCGGAACGTGACCCTTCCAGAAATATTCTGAGACCAAATTGACAAATTTTAAAAAGAGGAAGGAGAAAAAAAAAAGGA